CCCGGCACTTGGGATGTCCAATGAGTGGAGACAAACTGAAATCTTTGTTTCCATTTGCTTTTGGTTTTTGAGACAAGGTCTTACTATATAGCCTTGGCTGGACTGGAACTCACAATGTAGACCAGGCTGGCTTCAAAGTCACAAAGATCTGCCTGCCTTTGCCTCCTGAGTGCTGGCAGTAATGGCCTGTGCTGCTACACCTGGCTGAACTTTAGACTCTAATCTATTAAAGCCAACAATCTTAATAGAATCTAACTGCCTGGAAACTGCCTTATATCTTCTCTCCAGTCAGTCAGCCTTACAAGGGGTGTGGTGGGGTGGACCATAGAGCCAATCATTCCAGAGTTCCGTGTTGTCCCTTTCTTCTAGGGACTCAGATCTCTAAGACGTGTGATGTCTTTCACCATCTCTTGGCATTCTCTGCATGTCTGGGCTCAGGCAGTTCTTTGAACCTCAAGTCTAGTTAACATCTGCCAGTGCCAGCCTTGTATTCCTCCTGGGGTGTCTGTGCTGTAGGGGCAGGGTGGGGTGGGTGCTGACTCAGAACCAAAAATTGTGTACATATGAACTAAATACAGCGGACTCCTTTCAGCAATGTGAGGTGAAAATGTCTTTAAATACAGAATATAGATGTGCCTTCTTGTCCCCCTACCATTACTATAGCCAATTTTTTTGTGGCCCCACATTTTTTCCTTTTGGGGTGGGGCTCAGTAGCTGAGGATGGTCTTGAACTCAGAGATCCGCCTGTTCAGTATGCACACCAGGCCCACCAGTCCTTATGTGTAGAGAAAGCTGGTCTGTTGGTAATGTGTAGCTAGAGTTTTCCTGCCTGGCCCACAGTCAGGACAAATCTCTCTCACCTGCCAGTCCCACAGCCGCTCAGACCCGACCAAGTAAACACAGAGACTTATATTGCTTACAAACTGTATGGCCGTGGCAGGCTTCTTGCTAACTGTTCTTACAGCTTAAATTAATCCATTTCTATAAATCTATACCTTGCCACGTGGCTCGTGGCTTACCGGCATCTTCACATGCTGTTTCTCATCCTGGAGGCTGGCAGTGTCTCTCTGACTCAGCCTTCTACTTCCCAGCTTTATTCTCCTCCTTGTCCCGCCTATACTTCCTGCCTAGCCAATGGCCAATCAGTGATTTATTTATTAACCAATCAGCAACACACTTGACATACAGACCATCCCACAGCAGTAATGCTTTCCATTGAGTTGATGTATTGAACTTTATGTTGCAATATTTTGGTTTTTATTTTTTAGAATCCTTTTTTGCTGAATTTCTCATTGAAGTTGAATTTCTCATCCAAATTATAAATTGACTTGATTTGAAGTCTCTTGAGGTCATTCATGATTAAAACAAAATAATTTTATGTGTATGTGTGTGTTTCTGAAAGTATGTTTATGTACCACAAGTATGCAGAAGCCTGCAGGGGTAGAAGAGGAATTGGCTCTTCGGGAACTGGTTATGAGCCACCATGTGGGTGCTGGGAACCAAATGTAGGCCCTCTTTAAGAACAATAGGCACTCTTAACTGCTGAGCCATCCCTCCAGTTTTTTATGGAGATAGGATCTTACTATGTACCTCTGACTGAGTGACCTGACTTTCAGTGTAGATCAGGCTGGCCTTGAACTCACAGAGATCCACCTGCCTCTGCCTCCCAAGTGCTGGGATTAAAGTTGTGTGCCACCATGCCTCTCTCCCATTTATCATTTTTTAAAACTAGGCTTCCAGTTCTTTATGCAGCATTTCAGTCATTTTAATAGCATTGAATTCAGCTATTGGAGTGTTAAGAACAACACAAAATAAAAATTAATAAAAAGAAAACAATAGTCAAATATAATAAAAAGGTAAAATGTTGATTGTGTGTATGTGGGGATGGGCGATGAATGTAGGAGCTTCTTTCCGGGTCCTCTAACATGAGTCTCCCAACCCTCTGCGTGAGATTTACTCCATCTGTAGGTGGAGTTCACTGCAATTCCTCTTGGCTCCCTCTGGCTGAGGCCTGGGCTGATCAATGTTAAGCTGCCAGGGTCACTGCTGGGTTAATCTTAGAACTTTGCAGGCTCCATGCATCAGGAGCTGCTGCTGGCTCCCATGGGCTTTGTAGCCTGTAACCTGTTTCGGTTCCTGTTTCCTCCAGAGCATCCCCTTCCACCCCTCTGTACACCCAGAGGTAGTAAGTGTCCCAGCTGAAGTGTGTCAGAGGGGTCGGCAAGCCGAGCACTGAGTTCTGCATGCAGGAAGAGAGAGGAGGGAGCTCTAAGTTCTGCCTGTTGGTTTGGGCACTTATAGACCCACCCAGCAGCAAACTGCCCTGTGGGGAGGAGGCTGGAAAGATGTGCAGTCCTAGACCTGTGCTCAGAGCTTTCTGTTTCCATGGTAATGTGCAAGCTAAAGGCTCGTCCCTCCCCTCACCACAGAAGTGGATGAGCACTGCATTCTATAGTCAGGCTCTGCTCTCCAGTGTGTTCCAGCCTCTCACTGTGTCTACATCTGGCCCTCCCCCTTTTCAAGCCTTTGTGGCTGTTTCCATGGCAACCCAGTGGCAGGGAGTCCCCAGGATCCCTGATTGCTGCTTGCTTTCTGGTCCCCAGAGTGCCTGGGTCTCAAACAATAAGTATCCCCTTCTCAGTATGGTGGCTGACTGTATCGCACTCTGAGATATAGGGGGTGACAAAATGGATTGAGTCTCCAAAGCTTGCCTGCCAGACAGGTTTAAGGCCTGTCAGAAGTGTGGTCTTTTCTGAGTAGGACAAGTCCAGCCTGGACAGCTCAGGTTCCACCTTTGCCTGATTCCCAATGCGCTTTCTCTTGGAACGCAGTCTCCAGTGTTACCCAGACTCAGCCTCACTGCTGCTTCCCACTGACCTTTTGTCACTTGTGAGGTGGCCCAAGGCCTCTTCAAATGACATTAAACAGAGTTTCCTTTTCCTGTGGGAAGAACGTCTTAGCAAGCTCAGTCTATCCTGTATTCTTTTTTTGGGAGGGCGGGGGGAGGGGGTGTCAACAGGGTTTCTCTGTGTAGCCCTAGCTGTCCTGGAACTCCATGTGGACCAGGCTGGCCTTGAATTCAGAGATCCACCTTCCTCTGCCTCCAGAGTCTGGGATTCAAGGTATGCGCCACCACCGCCTGGCCTTTCCTGTATTCTAAGCCCAGTTCACCCCACCCCTTTCTGTGGTCTGTTCTTCCTTTGGTCTTCTCTGAGTTCTCACCTGGAGTTCTGTAGATTTGTGTGAATTGTCCAGTGGGTTTTTGGCTTGGTCTGAACCCACCAGCTCTGAACTTGACCCTAATGAAAAGTCTCTGCTGCTTCCTTCCAGGTGGTGGTCTACATAAACTGCATATCCAGATGGGTCTGATTGGCCAGAGCTGGCCCCGGTCCTGGGCCAGGCTGCTCTTCACAGTTGTAAGGCTCTCGGGTCAGCCACTGGAGCACCCTGATTGAGATGGGTTAGTGTACTTGCTGGGAAGGCATGGTCTCTGTAGTGCTGGGGCTCAGACTCGGGCCTCGAACATGCTAGGCAAGTGCTCTACCCTGAGCTATATCTGCAGCCCTGAGATATCAATACTAAAGTGCATTGGATGTTGGGAACCAGTGCCTTCCTCTTTACATTTTCTTGTCACATGACAGAGGGTCTAAGGTCCAACTGTGGCACGTCTGTGGTGATCTGATACAAATCTTATCTGGGATATGCTTTCAGTTCTGTCACGGGAAGGGAGTGGGGCACAGGGACATTCTACCAAGTCCCAAGGTTCCTGCCATGTCCTTTCTTCCTCATGAGGAGTCTAGCCTGATAACACAAGGTGACCTGTCTTTCCCTTTCCCTCCAAATGGAGCTATCTAAGAAGCACAGCTTTGTGTTATCATCCTCCTGCCTTTCAGAAGACATACCATAGATGTGGCTCAGCGAATACATCACGGTTCCTTCCTCTATTGCTTGGTGTGGGGAACTCTTATTTTTATTTGTTATTTTGAGGCAAGGTCTCACTGTGTAGCTCTGGCTAGCCTGGAACTGAGTATGTAGGCCAGGCTGGCCTGGAACTTGAAGATTTGGCTGCTCCTGGCATGCTGGGATTAAAGGTGAGCATCACCATGCCTGGCCCATGTGGGGAACTCTTATCTTCCTCTGGCAGGATTGGACCATGTCAAGTCTGAAACCAAAGAGAACATGTTCCAAATAACTTGGCAAAGAGGAAGAACAGAAAGCTTCCTGTTTTCCCAGGAGTGCCAGCTGTGTGACAGGTAACTTTCCTTGTTGCTGGGACCAGGCACCTGGCAAGCAGCAGCTCGGGGAAGCCAGGGTGGGCTCCTCTGGCTTCAGTTTGACAGGATACAGTCCATGGCAAAGGACAGCATGGAGGCTTGAGCTGGTGATGACTGGTCGCATTGCATCCAGTCAGGAAGCACAGAGCAGTGAAGTCTGCTTCTCAACTCATGTACTTTTACTCAGTGTGGGACCCAAGCCCGTGGAGTAGTGTTGCCCACACTGGGGTGGGTCTTCCCACATCATTAGCCTCACGTACCTTTAATCTCTGATTTTGTGGCCAGCCTGGTCACTGTAGGGAGCTCCAGGACAGCCAGGATAACAGAGAGGCACTGTCTCAAAAAACAGACAAAACAGTGATTTTTATTTTTTTTTTTTATTTTTTTTTATTTTTTTTCGAGACAGGGTTTCTCTGTGTAGCTTTGCGCCTCTCCTGGAACTCACTTGGTAGCCCAGGCTGGCCTCGAACTCACAGAGATCCGCCTGGCTCTGCCTCCCGAGTGCTGGGATTAAAGGCGTGCGCCACCACCGCCCGGCTAAAACAGTGATTTTTAAAAACAAGAAGAAAGAAAATCCATCGTAGCTATTCCCCATGGTGATTCTAAGTCTGTCAGGTTGACAGTCAAGATGATCCTTCACACTCACTATTCAACCAAAAGAGCCCTTGGATTCTGTTAGCAAGTCAGCTATTTGTAACCCCTATCAGGAAACGGAGCCAGCAAACAAAAAGTTAAAATGTGGTGTATGTACACAATGGAGTTTTACGTGGTTGTAAAAAGGCCCATATTTTCTCCCAAGCAGGACTTCAAGTTTTATATATATATATTATGTCCACGCTCAAACACGCAGGAAGAGATGTTGAGAAAGGATAAGAAACCATAAATGCAGGAAGGTGGTCACCTGGGGAAAGGAAGGGAACCAGCCAGAGAGGAGCAGGCAACACAGGGGAGGGGAATGAATTAGAACAAAGTATAATAACAAAGTATGTGTGAAGACGAAGCCAGTTATGGCAATGCACACCTTTAATCCCAGCACTGGGGTGGCAGAAGCAGGTGGATCTCTGTGAGTTTAAGGCCAACCAGGGCTACATAGTGAGTCTCTGTCTCCCCCCACCCCCACCGCCCCCCAAAAAATGATAGTCATAATACCTGCCTCAAATGAATGTACCAGGCTTTGCTGACTCCACATGGGAGGCCTTACCTTTTCGGAGAAGGTAATCGGGGCTGGGTTGAGGGGAAAGGCTGGCGGGGAGTAGGAAGAGAGATGAGAGGGGGATCTGTGGTTCGTATGTAAAATGGATAAAAATATTCTTAATAAAAAATAGTCACAAGAATAAAGAAAGATATAAACAGTAATAACAAAAGAAAATGAAGCCTAGATTTTGTATGCTAACCTAAATATTTAAAAACAGTCACTGCAGCTGGGCAGTGGTGGCCCACACCTTTAATCCCAGCACTTGGGAGGCAGAGGCAGGCGGCTCTCTCTGAGCTTGAGGATGGTCTACAGAGTGAGTTCCAGGACAGCCAGAGCTGTTCCACAGAGAAACCATGTTTCAAAAAACGAAAGGCAGTGTGGTGTGAAATGACTTGCAGTGGGTGGCTGGTTTTTTTTGGTTTCTATTGCTGAGACCAATTTCCAGCGGATTTCCAGGACAACATATTTCATTCATTTGTACAAACACAAGCATGAGCATTGTTCTTTTGAATGGTAGTAATTTCTAGCATTGATTACAGAATTTCCACTGACAATCTGGTTGCATTATACATGAATTGAAACTTAAGTTTCAGCTTTAGCTTTTGATATCCTCCCCTCCTGGCACACCTGCAGGATGCCAAGCATACCACAGACTCCTGTAATACAGTCAGACAACGATCTCCACGCACTGTGGTTTGTTCTCAATTCGGCATTTAGAATACACACTGGTGAGGAGCTTGGAACCAGAGTGCGCTGTAAACCACAGGTGTGAAGTGATTACTTCATTTGCAGCTCCTCCATAATGGCATCAGCGATCTCTGAGAGACTTTGGTCCACGTTGACTTGGATGAAGTTTTCAGGAGCTGATGGGGGCTCCAGAATACTGAACTGAGACTGCAGTAACTCAGGAGGCATAAAATGTCCTTTTCGTTGGAACAAGCGTCTGGAAATGATCTCAAACGACCCACAGAGGTAGACCACCAAGAGCTGTTTGCCAGCCAGCTTTTCCTTTGCTGACTCATCACTTTCCAAAGGCACATCATTTCTTCCATGTATCAAGATGTCTCTGTACATTTTCTTCAGTGCTGAACAGGCTAGAACAACATGCTGTCCTGAGGCCACATCTCTGTTTTCAAAATATAAGAAATGAAGAATGGAGATACTTTGTGCCAATTCTAGGTGGTGAACTAGTCCCTGCCAATGTAAAATGTTACTTGAAAATGGAGATTAAGCCTGGGATGCTCTCAACCTTCCTCAGTGAACTGAGTAGTCTTGGGCTCAAGTGTTCCATCTCCAGGCATCAGTTCCTCGCTTGTTAAGTGGCCCTTGGAAAGCTGTCCACAGGACAGAGCTAAGTGAGTACCTGGTTTGCATAAGTGTTTGGCTCCACGCTGATGCAGCTGGTTCTAATTTCAGAAGTGGTTTTTTTTTTTTTAATTTACTGGATTATACCAGGAGCCAGATGACTTCTTACCTTAGTAAAATGTCATGCAAGCTGCAGAGCCATGGGATCCTGTCCTGAAATTAGAGCAGGAATTACAAGCTTTCCCAGGTATTTCTTGTACAGAAACAGTAGTACCATAGTCACAAATGCTAACTCCAGAGACCTTAATGGGAACTGGGCATGGACAGCCTGAGGGCCATGCCCACTGCCTACAACCACAGAAGCAGTTCCTTGGTTCTGGTATCAATGGCTCTTTCATAATATAAGTCCCCTTAAGCTACATTACTTTATACCCTCTCTAAATCCCCCCCCCCACTGTGTAAATGTCTCCCCAGCTTTGATGCTCACACACTTCTTACTGTAGCTAATATAGTCTTTCAATGAATCTAATCAGAACCTGTAGCTAAGCACATGCTCTGCCGCTGAGTTCTATCCCAACCCTTGAGTTAACCCTCCCACCCCCAACAGGGTTTCTCTGTGTAGCCCTGGCTGTCTTGGAACTCCCTCTGTAGATCAGGCTGGCTTTGAACTCAGAGATCCTCCTGCCTCTGCCTCTGGAGTGCTGGGATTAAAGGTGTGCTCAAGCACCACCCTGCCGAGCTAACTTCTTAATGTAGCACTTAAAATCTTTCAAAATGACTCTTGCAATACCTTGTGGTTAGCCAAGGTTTCCTACAACATTCAAGAACTAATGGGGATGAAAAAGATTATTTATAAGCTTCTTAATTTTAACTTCTTGGGTATATATTTTTTTCTTTTTTTTAAGTATTAATTATTTCATGTGAATGTTTCGCCGGTGTGTGTGTGTGTGTGTGTGTATAAGTGCACTGAGTGCATGCCCTCAGAAGCCAGAAAAGAGTGGAGGAATCCCCTGGAACTGGAGTTACAGGCAGCTATGAGCTGCCATGTGGGTGCTGGGAACTGAACCCGGGTCCTCTGGAAGAGCAGCAAGTGCTCTTAACCACTGAGTCACTTCTCCAGCCTCTCAGGTATATTGTGTAAAGCAGCTCCTAGGCCTGTGTAGCAGAAGGTGACTCAGCCTTGACAAGGCCATCCAAGAAAGTTCTATCTCCTTTCCTGGGATTCTGTACAAGTGTTGTCACCACCACCCACCTCGACCACACTGCACCACTCCCATACCCTGTGGATTATCAAACCTTCAGCCCAACAGGGAAGGTATGTTGCTGTGGGATTTAAGATGTAAGAACTAGATAGCTAGAAGCCTGAGCCATTAGGCCAAACAGTTTAAACAATATAAGTCTCTGTGTTTACTTGGTTGGGTCTGAGCGGCTGTGGGACTTGGCAGGTGAGAGAGATTTGTCCTGACTGTGGGCCAGGCAGGAAAATTCTAGCCAAACATCCAGAATGGTTTGAAGGCAACTGGCTCAGACAATACAGCCTCATGGATTATTCCATAATTCTAAAATTTTCTTTATGTCCCCATAAGATACAGCATCCCCCTCCAGCAGGAAGTAGTAAGAGAAGCTACGCCCAAATTCCCAAATTATATGTAATTTTACTTTGTTAAGGTTAAAACCTTCCTTTTTGAAAAAAAAAAAAGCGGGGGGGGGGGGGGGGAGTGCTGTGGGATGTTCTGTATGCGTGCTCGACCTGCTGCTGTATGGTGGGAATGAGGCCTCTGCAAGTGGCACATTAAGCTGCATGGTGGATTTAGCCTTTGCTAGTACAAAACAAAAAAAGAGGTTTCTGGGCTACACGCTGCTTGGATAAAAGCATAGAGACCCACGATAGCTCCCAGAGCTGGTGGTAAACTACCACCACCATGTTGGGAAGCTGAGGTGGGCGGAGCCAGCAGCCACAGCTGCTGCAGTTTAAAGCAATAGATTCACAATAAGACAGATTCAGATGTAATAGTTTACATAATGTGTGTAAAATATACTTAGGCTTGAAAGAGACAAAAAAGGTGATATATACAGTTATATAAACAAATACATAGTTTTAAAAAATAAAGTCTTTAAAGAGACATTAAATTTAATATAAAAAATAAGCCACATAAAGATGAATTTTACACAGAGAATCTGGATTGTGTTGTCTTTGGGATTCTTAACTGCAGAGAGATATTTGATTGTAAAAGAAGCTGAGTTAAACCAAAATGTATATTTTAAAGATACCTTGACTTCAAAATTTGGATGTAAGGATATGTTACTTTGGAAAGGAGACTCTGCTTTTGTTCCCACAGAAAGCCAAAGGCTATGGATTTGTTCCAGATTCAGATACATCAGGTTTGACCAGCCAAGACCCCCTGAAAGGTCTCCGATGACACCATGGCCCAGATGACCCAACATCCAGAATGGTTTGAAGGCAACTGGCTCAGACAATACAGCCTCATGGATTATTCCATAAATTCTAAAATTTTCTTTATGTCCCCATAAGATACAGCATCCCCCTCCAGCAGGAAGTAGTAAGAGAAGCTACGCCCAAATTCCCAAATTATATGTAATTTTACTTTGTTAAGGTTAAAACCTTCCTTTTTGAAAAAAAAAAGCGGGGGGGGGGAGTGCTGTGGGATGTTCTGTATGGCAAATGTGTTGCTGATTGGTCAGTAAATAAAACAGTGATTGGCCATTGGCTAGGCAGGAAGTATAGGTGGGACAAGGAGGAGAATAGAGCTGGGAAGTGGAAGGCTGAGTCAGAGAGACACTTGCCAGCCTCCAGGATGAGAAACAGCATGTGAAGATGCCGGTAAGCCACGAGCCACGTGGCAAGGTATAGATTAATGGAAATGGATTAATTTAAGCTGTAAGAACAGTTAGCAAGAAGCCTGCCACGGCCATACAGTTTGTAAGCAATTTAAGTCTCTGTGTTTACTTGGTTTGGGTTTGAGCGGCTGTGGGACTGGCAGGTGAGAGAGATTTGTTCTGACTGTGGGCCAGGCAGGAAAACTCTAGCTACAGTATGGCCTTTTAGTAGGCATCCCCAAGGAGTGGCCTAGGAGCTGAGATATTAAGGATGAACATCGGTCACTCAGTGAAGGAGGAAACATTCCAGATAGCAGTGGGGCAGTGGACACAAAAGCCCTATGAGGAAGAGCATGGTCACAGGAGGGACTGAGGAGCTGAGAGGTTCCTGTGGACACGGAGGAGTACCTAACACTTTTCTAAAAGAGACTCCACATAATGTGAGATCAGTTAAAAGCCTAAAGGGTCTCAGACATGGTACCTGGTGCCATGGTTTGAGTGAGAACGGCCCCTATAGGCTCAGATACTGGTCCCTATTTGATGGAACTTTGGGGGGAGGATGAAAAGGTATGGCCTCCTTGGAGGAAGTGTGTCGTTGGGAGCAGGATTTGTGCATTCCCAATGTGCTCTCTGCCTCCTGTTTCAGATCAATTATTGGACATTTCAGCTGTTCCTGCTGTCTTGCCTTTGCTCTACCATCATGAACTCTAATCTTCTGAAGCTGTAAACCCAATTAAACGCTTTTCTAAGATGCCTTGGTCATGGTGCACAGCAACAGGAAAGTAATTAAGACACATGGCCACATTGAATTTGTATGATCACTATTGCCTTGGAGTTCACCAGAACTTGATGGTGTGGGGAAGGGGAAAGAACCTAGGAGGCACCAATTTCCCTGTCTGAGCACAAAGGAGCCTCTGCTCACTTGGGGATTAGAGGTTAAAATCCTGCAACAAGCTGTGGCTGGCTGTGCACAAGATAGGGGAGAAGGTGGCTCACTCCTGGGCCCCAGTTCATGGACAAGCTCAGGTTCTAGGCTACTAGACAAGGAGGCATGATGCAGAGATACTGGACACCCACGGCCAACGTTACCTGGTCGCTCAGAGGTACCCCTTTTCCCATCTTCATCCGATTCTCTTCAGAGTGGTAATCATCGGCATCATAGAATTTCCATCCCAGCTTTAGGAATGAAGGGAGAGGTGTATGTAGCATCAGCAAGACCCATAAACAGTCACCAAGAGCTTACTGGCAGGCAGGTATAGAAATCACTGGTCTAGCCAGGCAGTGGTGGAGTATGCCTTTAATCCCAGCACTCAGGAGGCAGAGCCAGACAGATCTCTGTGAGTTTGAGGCCAGCCGGTCTACAGAGTGAGTTCCAGGACAGGCTCCAAAGCTATACAGAGAAACCCTGTCTCAAAAAATAAAAAAGAAATCACTGGTCTGAGGCTGCCCCTCTCACTTATAAACACCAAGAAGAAACCTAGATTGCCATGCTAAGGCATCTGCACAAACCATAGGTCAAAAGAAAGGGAGGAAGCCATGGACCAGAGCACAATGGATGAGGGACGTTACCTTAGAGGCCAGCAGTGCACCCACGGTAGATCTGTGGAAAGAATACAGATGTGTCCATTTCTACTCAACACATGTAAGTGCCAGCTGTTTTGAGAGGATGCCTGAGAGAGGAGCAGCTGTCACATTAATGTGCAGGTCCCTCTGTGGTCCTAAAGCAGAGATGCCCTTAACCCTGGAGTCTAGAGACAACCTTCACTGTCCTAAGATGTATTATCCAGAAAGCAGTTTATCAGAACTAATTAGACCACTGAGCCAGTGTGGTGGTGCATGCCTGTCTGTAATCCCAACACTTGGAGGTCCACAACACAAACAAACTAACAACAACAAAGCATTTTCTCAATAATCGGTGTTTCATAGTTACTTGTTTTGGCACACACTTGTAATCCCAGGATCCGAGAGGTGGAGGCAGGAAGGTAGTCAGTTCCAGGCCAGTTTGGATGGCACACTGAGACACTGACTCAAAAAAAAAAAAAAAAACAACAAACAATGACAACAGAGAGTCGTTGTTTTAGTTCCTATAGATGCTCATCTTTTGAGAGAGAATACCAAATGAATAAAGTGGTAGTTTTATCAAAAATTCAAGAGAGGATTGGTTTTATTTTTTAAAAAATACTATTTTGTGTTGGCCAACTACTCCTGGGCCTCCCAGGAGTGCTTGATGCACCCAGTGAGAGAGGGGTTTTTAATAAGAAATTTAGTACCATGCAGCACTGTGTAAAGTTCGGGGGCCCATAAACACATCAAAGCATTGTTAGTTTACTAGATACGCATAAGGGGCTGGAGAGGAGGCTCAGCAGTTAGAGCACTGGCTGCTTTTCCAAGGGCCCTGGGTTCGATTTCCAGCACCCACATGGCAGGGATCTGATGCCCTCTTCTGGCTTCCTTGTGTGCCACACCCATGTGGCACTCATACATGCAGGCAAAACAACAACAACAAAAAACCATACACATAAAAGAGAAGGTCAGTTAGTCAAGAATGGCCAACACCTGTTAAGACAGGGTGTCCCACAGAATGTGCTAGTGAGAACTGGGGGCCTCAAAAGTGGAGGTCTGGGCCTCAGTCATTCTGTCATTAAATGACTGTTCCTAGCTAACTGGGCTTCTCAAGTCCTCAGTTTGCTCAGGGGAACCGAACTACACAAGTTGTCCATTCATCTCTAGTTTATTCAGCCAACTAAGAGAACTTTATGTATATGGGTGTTTTGTTTGCATGTAAGTTAGTGTACCACATGCGTGCAGTGCCCAGGGAGGTCAGAAGAGGGTCTGGAACTTGGGTTATAGACCATTGTGAGCCACCATGTTATTACTGGGAATTGAACCCAGGTCTTCTGGAAGAGCAGCCAGTGCTCTTAACTGAGCCGTCTCTCCAATCCCAATTCAGCCAATTTTTATTGAGTATGTATCACCTAGCAGTTCCCAAAAGACAAAGAAGAGAGAGACCACTATACTGTACTTTAATTAAGGTGAGTGCACCACACCGGACCCAAACCAGAGTTTTGCACAGGAAAAAAAAAAATCATACTTAAGATCAAGTTAGATTAACTATGAATAAACATGTTAGCACCAACTATAGTCTAAAAGAAGAGTGATGTGGAATAATCCTCTTGTACACTGTAAAGATTTGTCACTCAAATTGGTTTAATAAAATAAATAAAACACTTGGCCAGTAGCCAAGCAGCAAATATAGGCAGGGCAACCAAACTAAGGATGATGGGAAGAGGAAGGATGGGGTCAGGAGTCACCAGCCAGATGTAAAGAAGCAAGATAAGAATGCTGTACTGAGAAAAGTTACCAAGCCACGTGGCTAAACATAGGTAAGAATTATGAGGTAATTTAAGTGTAACTGTTAGCTAGTAATAAGCCTGAGCTCTCGGCTGATCATTTATAAGTAATATTAAGCCTCTGAGTCAATTATTTGGGAAGTGGCTGCCAGGTATTTAAGGACAGGCAGGTGGGAGAGAAACATTTGATTATAGAAGAGCTAAGTTACGTGTCAACTGGCAGAAAGGAGGCAGGAGGGAAAGGAAAAAGCCACTCTCCCTGCTCCATCCAGATCTAAACTAGAGGACCTGGATGCGAGGACATGCACAAGGGACCACAGTAGGAACAAGGCGTAGTGTGGGGCTCATAAGCAATGGCTGGATGTAAGCTTGCAAACCAAACTTCAGGACCCAGATGTCTCTCTCCCAGCAGGTTGGACTAAAAGACACTTTGGAAGACAGTAGGCCATCGGGGAGAGGGAAGAAATGAAGAAAACCAGATTTGAAAGGCTTAAGCTTATCCTAGCAGAAGCTGAGATGGCTTTACTATGATGTTAAAATATAAGAAAATAAACAATGCTAAGGTCCTCTGGCTCATCCTTCCAGTCTCTGTGACAAGGACAATCTGAGCACTTATTATGGGATAGGTGCTGTTCTGGACAAGACAGAAAGGGTCTCTGGTGGGGGAAGAGACAATGAACACAGCAAACAGGTTTCCCTATTATACAACAGCCGGGATTTTCAGGCTCTGTGATTTCTGTTCATTTTTGTGGCGCTGGGATTGAACTCAGGGTATGAGAGTCAAGCACTCCACCACTGAATTACACCTACAGCTCTGGGCTCTGTGTTCCATTTCACTTTTAGTTCTGAGTCTTGGTTTTTGAAGCAGAGAATGATGGACTATGCCTGTGATCCCAGCACCTAGAAAACTAGGCAGGAAGATCCCTGCATTTGAAAGGCCAGCCTTAACTGCACATCAAAAATTCTCTCTCAAATTAAACACTACTTAGTAATTTTGGAAACATAAAGCTACCTTCTAGGACTGGGGAGATGGCTTACTGGTTAAGAATACATACTGCTCTTGCAAAGGACTTGAGATCAGTTCCCAGAACCGATATGGATTGGCTCACTGCCACCCAGCTCCAGAGGATAAGATACCTCGGAGGGCACCTGCACTACTGTGTGCAGGTGCGGACACACACACACACACACACACACACTTAAAAATAATAAAAATAAGTCTTTCATTTTAAAAGGCTACCTCATGGTTTAGAAAGTCCTCAGAAAGACACAGTGACCCGTAAAAGGCTCTAGTTCACCAGATGATGTGATGTTGTGATGCCTATGATTGTATGTTGCAGTTTGGTGTCTTTTGGATTATACCCGGTGCAGTCTGATGGTGTCTATCAAACCAAGTGCCTACTGCTTGCTTAATTCTAAACTGGCTGCCCTGGGCTGAGAAGAAACTGCATATTTTGCAGAATTCTGGCACTTTGCATAGTTCTGGCACTTTGCATATGAACATTCCTTCTTAAGCCAGGAACATGATCAAAGAAGACGATACCTTGCAGAGTGATCTTCACTTTTCAAAGTCTATTCAGAAAAATCCAGAAACTCACCCAGTAGGGAGACCATCTGCCCAACCAGACAAAGCTTTGTAAAGACCCGGGACAAGGTTTACCTCTTGCTTGGGACTTTGCACCCTCCCACCTTGCTCTCTCTAAGATGTCCCCAGGCCCAGGTTCGTTAAGACTGAAGCTGAAAGTTGTGGCGGGACTCGTCTCTCCCGTTACAACTTTCCACTCTGTACTCCAGCAGCCTCTCTCTATGCCCGACCTTCGTTCCCCGGCTGCTAGCCACCATCAACAGGACCTTGGCGTTTCACCCGTGGTGACCCTGGGGAGCGGCCAGCGGGGCAGGAGAGCAGGGGACCTCGGCAGGTCTCCCGGGGTTCAGGCCGCCCCACCGCCTCCCAGTTCCCGCCCGCCTGCGGCCTCCGCGACCTACTTCCCGCAGCCGCTCACGCCCATCACCAGCAACACCAGGGGTGCCTCCATCTCCCAGTTCCTTGGTCCTCAGCGCCCTCTTCCGGGACAGGGCCCGCCTAGTCCTGACGTCACAGGCCCCGCCCCCGCCGACTCGTGCAGACAGCTGGGTGGTGCAGCCAGAGGGCAGCTGCTGGCACTTCCAGGTGCTTGTGCTCTGCAACAAGGAATCCACCAGGGACAGGTGGGCAGTGATAGAAATATTTTACTAACAAAGACAACAATGAAGGACAACGACGTGGAGCCAGGGGTGGATCTCTCTCTCTCTCTCTCTCTCTCTCTCTCTCTCTCTCTCTCTCTCTCTCTCTCTCTCTCTCTCTCTCTCTCTCTCTCTCTCTCTCCTCGAAATTATCCCCTGTCCCCACTTTGCTGAAAGCCAGTTCCCCTGGACCCCCTTCCACGGTGCAAACAGCGAATCTGCATAAGTGGCTGTCTTCTGCAGGAAGTGACCGAACACCAACTCTGCAGGAGGACTCTCACTAAATCCGGCTGGGCAGATGCTCGGCACATACACTGGTGCCTCGCTGACTCTCCCAGAGGGAGCCAGCAGAGCAGGCTCAGTAAGGACCCCCACCCAGGAGGTAGCTCTTCCCGGCAGGGGTTTGTGTTAGTGGCGCGCTGTTCGTTCAAGAACTGCGGCTCTCAGTAATGTTGGCAATGAAAACAGGTGCACGTGAGAGCTGGAAGTGAGCTGCCGTCCATTCACATGAACTTCTTCCTGAGAACAAGCAACACAGTCTGGTGATTTCAAACAGTCTGGGGCTTTCAGACTGTCCCTTAGTCCACAGGCTTCATCCACAGCGACCACCAGCCAGAGTCACTCTAAAGACAACCATAAACAGAAGGTACTGGAGAGGCCTGGATGAGTCACCAGAAGCAAAGCTTTGCCCCCGAGTCCGAGAGGTAAACTCACAGTCTTCCAAACAAGCCTCTTATTTCTTTTTAAAAATGGTGTGTGTGTGTGTGTGTGTGTGTGTGTGTGTGTGTGTGTGTGTGTTGTCTACATGTGTGTACGTGCGCGCATGCCCACGGAGCCAGAAGAGGGCGATGGATCTTAGGGTATCTCTAGATTTGAGACAATACCAAAATGTTTTACAAAGTGGCTGTACATTTACAGGCCCACCAAGCAGTGTGCGAGCCTTCTTCAGCTCGCCGCTAACGTTGTTGCTGTTGTTTTCACACTATCTTGATCTTTGCTTTTTTAAAAAAAGATTTTAAATTTATGTGTATGAGTGTTTTTTTTACATGTGTATAGGTCCACCCCATGCATGCAGTGTTTTCAGAGGACATTAGATCCTGTGACACTGGCATTACAGATGGTTATGAGCTGCCATGCAAATACTGGGAACCAAACCTGGGTCCTCTGCAAGAGCAACCAGTGCTCTCAACTGCTGAGCCATCTCTCCAGCCACACCTCCATCCTTCATTCTTGAGACACTGCCTTACACTGACTTCTAAGTCATGACACTCTCCTAGTTTGTCTTCTACCTCAATCACTGTTCTTTCTAAGCCCCTGTTATATTTTTACCTCCTCCTCCTCCTCTTCTTTCTTCTCCTCTTCCTCCTCCTCCCCTTCCTCCTCTCCCTTTTCCTCCTTCTAGTCCTCTTCCATTTCTTTTTCTCAGGTTCTAAATGTTGGAATGACCCCAGGCTTTGTCTTGAGTCAGCTTCTCTATCCCAGGGCTTTGCTATGTGATGTTATCTTGTGTGTTTAAATACTATGTGTAAATTACTTCCCTGTAGGTCTTTATCCCTGATCTCCATATATCCAACTGCTTACTTAACTCTTAGATTGTCTAATTCAAGACTTAATATTAACAAAACAAAATTCATAAGAATGCCTGTCTCCTCTCTCAGCCTTCCAAACTTTAAACAATGAGTTTGCTTTCCCCATGGTTGGCCAACAGAGCCTCCATGAACTTGTCTTAACTGCTTTGTCTTACATGCTAATCAAGACCAGCAGCAAATTCCTTGCCGCCCCACTGTTTGAACTCATCATTACTTTTCATGTCTTCTTCCATGGGCTTGGTTCCCAACATCTCCCCCTCTGCTTGCGCTACTGAAAGAGACTGCTACTGATTTTCTTGCTTCTGTCCAGCTGTCCAGATTCACATAGAAGACACTCACTTAAAGTTTTATAAATACTTATTTTTAATTATGTACACGCATGTGTGTCTGTCTGTGGGTGTGTGCACACGAATGCAGAGCATATATAGACTGGAAGAGGACATTTGGGTGCCTGAAACTGGAGTGGAGTTGTGAGTCACCCCATATGGGGCAGTTCTGAGAGCCCAGCCTAGGTCCTTTCCACTCAGCAGACTCTCCAGTGGCAGTCTTGTAAGTTTTAAGAAATCATATCATGCTAGTTCCTGTTAAAGCCTTCCTGTGATTCTATTGTTCTTTTTTTTTTTTTTTTTTTTGGTTTTTTGAGACAGGGTTTCTCTGTGTAGCTTTGCGCCTTTCCTGGAACTCACTTGGTAGGCCAGGCTGGCCTCGAACTCACAGAGATCCGCCGGCCTCTGCCTCCCGAGTGCTGGGATTAAAGGCCTGCGCCACCACTGCCCGGCTCTATTGTTCTTTAAAACCTGTTTTTGTGTGCCTGGTGCACAAGGCCCTGCATGTTCTGCCCTTGCTTAGCTCTGTTCTAAGTCTGGCTTTCCTGTTGCCCTGCAGGTGATCTCAGACCACTGAACCTCCTGACCTGCAACTGTCACTCTCGTTGTGCCCACTGTTCTGAATTTTTTTAATTTCCCAGTAAAACAGAAAAAAAAAATGAGCTATTAGAGTCCTAACACATAGTTTCTTGGGCTGGAGAGATGGCTCAGAGGTTAAGAGCACTGGCTGTTCTTCCAGAGGTCCTTCAATCACCCAGGTGGTGGCTCACAACCATCTATAATGAGATCTGGCGCCCTCTTCTGGCCTGCAGGTATACATGGAAGCAGAACACTATTTATAATAAATAAATTAAAAAAAAATAAATGTCTTAAACATATAATTTCAATTGTGGCCCATTTTAGAAATTATAAAAACCTTCAATTTTATCCACTGACTCATGAATAAATTTTCTTGTGGATGGTGACCATCAAAAGAGGAAGAAGTTGCCGGGCGGTGGTGGCGCACGCCTTTAATCCCAGCACTCGGGAGGCAGAGGCAGGCGGATCTCTGTGAGTTCGAGGCCAGCCTGGTCTACAGAGTGAGATCCAGGAAAAGCGCAAAGCTACACAGAGGAACCCTGTCTCGAAAAACCAAAAAAAAAAAAAAAAAAAGAAAGAAGTTATTATTAGAATGGCTTGATCAGGTATGTGCTGCAATTTTGAATTGAAAACCTGCCCTTTCCCTTCCTTCCCTTCCCCACCCATTCCTTTCTCTTCCTTTCCTCCCCTCCACTCCCCACCCCTTCCATTCCCTTTGTCCTTGCCTTGAAATCCAAAAGCCATTAGGTAGGAGACCTCTTCATTGGCCGGAGGGTGCTGGTGGCAGCCCAGCATGTGGGTGAGACTTCCCATACCTATGGACTTTGATAGATTCGGTCTGTTTTCATTTTGGCCGGTGGTGCTGTCTACATGCTGAGTTTTACAGCCTGAATGGTGCTTCCATCATGGGGTCAGTTGTGCTAAGGTCTGGGGGCCTGTTACATTCTGGACTGTGTAAAGCCTGAGGCCTCTGCCCTTGGCATGGACACAGCCCCAGGAATGACTGAGGTTAGTGTAGTAGTGTTTGCTCTGCCCATGACCTTGGGCTAATAGGGCCCGAAGGAAGCAGTGCTTCCTGCCATTGTACATGACCTCTAAAAAGGAGAGGGAGAAGGGTCACATGCCCCTTCTTCCTGATCCTGGTCAGATCAGAGGATGACTTCAGCTGTCTACTCTGTTCTGTATTCGTGAGTGTATTTCCTCAATTTACCTTAATACATTTCCCTAATACTTCTTTCTTTCTCTTTCTTTCTTTCTTTCTTTCTTTCTTTCTTTCTTTATTTATTTATTTATTTATTTATTTATTTATTTATTTTTTGGTTTTTCAAGACAGGGTTTCTCTGTGTAGCTTTGTGCCTTTCCTGGGACTCACTTGGTAGCCCAGGCTGGCCTTGAACTCACAGAGATCCACCTGGCTCTGCCTCCCAAGTGCTGGGATTAAAGGCGTGCGCCACCAAATACTTCTTAAACATACTCCCATGGATTTATCGCTTTATCTGGCACCCAACCACGTGGATCTGAACCCCATGAGTCCCCACTGGGACTACTGGTGTGACCCCCTAACACCCGCGGGTGGCTGGGGTAAGGTTCTCCGCCCTGCAGAGCCTGCACAAACTGCCCCCGCCCCTCCAGAACTGCCTGACCCCTGCTCAAGTGACCGCCTGAATACAGCGGCCATGTTGGGAGCCTGTAGGCCAGGCAGCTCTCAAGGCAGCCGTTCTTGTAACCACTGCCAAAAGCACGCAATTCTGCAGGATAGAGGAGAACTGCAGTTCTGCGGCAGATGATAGAGCATTGCAGTTCTGCGGAGGAGAGAGGAGCACTGCAGTTCTGCGGTGGATAGAGGAGCACTGCAGTTCTGCGGCAGATGATCGAGCACTGCAGTTTTGCGGCGGATGATAGAGCACTGCAGTTCTGCAGAGGAGAGAGGAGCACTGCAGTTCTGCGGTGGATAGAGGAGCACTGCAGTTCTGCAGAGGAGAGAGCACTGCAGTTCTGCGGTGGATAGAGGAGCACTGCAGTTCTGCGGCAGATGATAGAGCACTGCAGCAGACAGAAAGGTATCCAGTTGGGCGCCTTTCTAGGTCTGCGCTTGAAGTGGCCAGATCGGGTAACAGACCTCGCCTGGTTAGAGATGACCAGCCACTGTTCTTTTACTTTTAACACTGCTCAGTGTGGCTGCTGCCAACTCCATTTTCTGAAACTCCTGCCGCCGTGACTGCCATTTTGTGTGCGGCCATCATGGAGCGCATGCATGCAGCCAGTCCTGCAGAGTGTCTGCCGGTGTCCCAGGCAGCACTTTTTTTTTCTTTTTCTTTTTCGAGACAGGGTTTCTCTGTGTAGTTTTGGTGCC